AAAAAAAAAAAAAAGAGTTAAAATATACTCACTGTCTTTTACCGATTACTAAATATTTATAGTGTTCTAGGCATCTAATAAAAACTAAAACTGCTTTTTGGAGCAGACTGATTTATTCCTATCAGTGAACAGATTGTTTCATGATTGTTTTGTATGTAAGAAGCTGAACTTTGGATCATTTGAGTCCGTTAACAATATAGTACCAGAACACTATAAATATTTGTAATAATTTTTTCATTTAAAACATTCTTTACGGCCTGAAGTGCTTTATTCATGTACTATCTTACTGCTACTTGTAAGAAGTGAGGTAGGGCAAGACCATCTTACATTCTTTACTTTAAAGGATAAGTGAATTGTCCAAAATATCACAGAAAGTCAGCAGCCAGTTAATAGAATTTAGGTAGCCCACTCCCAGCCCAGGGCATTTAGTCAGTTTCTTGTTTTTATTTAATACCATCATATTGTCTCAGAGTATGCTATAATGTTTAAAAAAATGCCCATTCTCTCTAGCTTCAGTTCAAGAGGGAGTGGGAAAGGATATAGACTAAGTCTACCTTCAGTGTCACATTCCTGTGGTTTGCACAGAGAACAAAATGCAGTCTCCACCCAGACCCTCAAACCCACAAACCAGACCACTACTCACCTTCCAAATGCCCTAAGCCTGGGTCTTAACAACATGTGGTCAAACACACTTCCTGGGTTTTACCCATCCAGTAACCTGTCAACTCATCCAGTGGTGGCCAGTAAGTTGAAATCGACATTTCAAGTAGGGGCCATCCAACAACTATAATTTTGTTGAGAGGTAGGTATATATATATACTATGTGTGATTATGAGAAGATTTGCATCTGTAATTATGACAGCCTTAAAGGAACTACATGTAAAATTTTATTGTGAAAAGTAGGAAAGATAAAAATTTCCTTGCTAAAATCAAGATTAAGTATATTGAAGAGTAAGTACTGAGGTTCTGTATAGTGGTGCTTTTATACTTTGCTTTTAAAATCTAATGATGATTTTAGATAATTATGTGGTAATGATTGTTTGTATTCTCTAGATTCTTAGTTTTGTTGTGTTTTTTCTTTTAAAGAATGAAACCTGCATCTGAAATCTGATTAATTTATTTTCACCCATGAAAAACCAAATAGTATCTATTAAAAATTTTAAGGGGTTAACGGTATCACCAATTTTCATAATTGGTATGTGTTATGATAGCCTTAGTAATCTGAAGATGAATGATAATTAAGAAGTCATAATTAATAGAGACTAGGAAAGTAAAATTTCTGATAAGATGGAAGTTTTTTCCCCTTCTGCTTCCCAATTGATTATGCAGAAGCAGTATTACTGAGTGGATAATTGGGAATTTGTTTTCGTCTCATCACTTACCTTCATACTCTAGTTTGTATATATAAAATCAGTAAAACCTGGGGAGGTGGCTGTGGATCATGGAACAGCAAATATAACTTCAAATATACTGTATAGAAATAGCAAGAATAATGTCAAAACTCAAAATAGAGCCCACTCTTGCCCCCTCTCAATTTTATAATTTTAACTGGTATAAAATATAGGGTGCAGTGAGCTGTGATGATGCCACTGATGCTATGATGGTATTCTAACCTGGGTGACAGAGTGAGACTGTCTCAAAAAAAAAAAAAAAAAGAGAAAAAGAGAATATCAGCAAGAACTTGACAATACCATTAATCAACAGGATCTAGTTAATATTTATGTAACACTTCACTCAACTAGAGTACCCAAACACATTGGTGCTCCCTGAACATATACAAGATTGACCATATTCTGGGTTGTAAAATAAGCCTCAGCAAACTTACAAAACTTGAAATCATACAGAGTGAGTTCTTTGACCACAGTGGATTCAAACTAGAAATCAGTAACAGAAAAGTAACAGGGAAATATTCAGACGTTTAGAAATGAAATGACTTGCTTCAAATAATTTGAGTCAAGGAGAAAATTTCAATGGAAAACATTTCAGTGAAGATTACCTTTCAACAAATACATCACAAATGTAAACGAAAATGCAGCATAATTTTTAGTGTGTAACACTAAGTGTGTGCATGTAAAGGTGGGGCACGGTGGCTCAGGCCTGTAATTCCAGCACTCTGGGAGGCCAAGGTTGGCAGATTGCCTGAGCTTATGGTTTGAGACCAGCCTGAGCTAGAGGGAGACCCCATCTCTAAAAATAGCTGGGTGTTGTGGCAGGCAACGTGTAGTCCCAGCTACTTGGGAGGCTGAGGCAAGAACATCTCTTGAGCCCAAGAGTTTGAGGTTGCAGTTGTGGTGAGCTGTGATGCCACGGCACTCTACTGAGGTTGACAAAGTAAAACTCTGTCTCAAAACAGAAAAGATGCATATAAAATCACCAAGCTCCTGCTTCAAGAACCTAGACAAAGATTATCAAAATAAAACTAAAGCAAGTTGAAGGAAGAAAATAATAAAGAGCAGAAATTGATAAAATTGAAAACACAAAATTAACAGAGAAAATTGTAACTTTGACTCAAACTGTATAAAAGCATTTCATGGAACCAAAATATTTATACCCAAATAATATTCTGAAAAAATATTTATAATAAATGCACAAAAGAAAATCAGTGAAAGGGCTATTTTTTTTTAAAGTTTATCAAAATTGATCAAATTCTAGCAAGACTAACAAGAAAAGGAGATTCAGATTATGTCAGGAATGAAACAGGGAGTATCACTTACGACCTTGTAGATATTAAAAGGATAACAAGCCCCTTTGAACAACTCTAAATTAGACAATGTAGATGAAATGGATCAGTTTCTCAAAATACATTAAACTACCACAGCTCACCCAATATGAAATAGGTAATTTGAATAGGTCTACAGCTATTTGGGAAATTGAATCAATAATTAAAAAGATGCCCCAAATGAATGGTTTCACCAGAGGATTTTACCAAGTGTTTAAAGAGGAATTAAGACCAATTCTGCATAACATCTTCCATGAAGTAAAAGAAGAGAAATGTTATCATCAGGGCAAACTGTGTCAAGGACATACAGGATTTCTTTGTTATTCTTCACAGTAATTCTGTGTGAACTTATCATCTGAAAATAAAAAGTTTTATTTAAAAATAGTAACCAGAGGAAAAAAGACATTTTAGTAGAAGAACAAAGATAAGAATGACAACAGACTTTTTAAAAAAATAATACAAGGCAGAAGACAGTAGGTCATTATCTTTAAAATAGGAAAAAGAGACGTAGGCAGTTGGATTCCAGAACATCTAACCTATTTATCTTTGCTGCATCATAAAGATAATAAAAACAAAAATGCATGGAGCAATCCGATAACACTGCCTTTCTTTCTCCTGTGCCTTGGAGAAGTGGAATGGTGCTATAATTCTTTGAAAAGGAAATGAACCAGTGTTCTTCATCCATGATCTGTTTGTCTTCCATTCTCTGTACTTCAACAACTTGTTAAAAAGTAAAATTGGCTAATACATCATTTTACCTGTCAAGCAGATTTATATTTTAGAAGAAAATAAAATAAATGTAGAGGTAACTGTGATATAGGCAGATCTGAATAAGTGTTATAAAAGAAGAATTAAAGTAAAGACCTTTGGAAATTCAGAGGAAGGGTTGAGAAGAGACTTCAAGGAAGATGGACACGTGAGTTTGAGAGTGGAAGAAAAGGAAAGGTCTGAGATTGTGTCCCGATGCCTAGGACAATCACTGGTGCTGTGGTGATGACACTGTAATAAGCTCCTTGACAGCACAGGTTTTGTGTTTGTTGCTTGTCCGCTGGGTTGTATCCTTACTACTTATAGCAGTGCTGGGTACTCAGTAAGTACTCAGTAAATATCTGTGAATGAGTAAGTGAATAGAGAAATTAGTGATTACCAGTTTGCGTTAAGAATGATCTCATAGTGATGTCTGCTTTAGCAGTTAAAACGTGGAATCTAATCCTTACTCAGCCATTAGCTAGCTGTCATCTAGTCCCATAGCTCTGGCTGTCCATTCAGCTATCATAGAGGTAGCTCTCCACACTAGTGGAAAAAGCAATAATGTAGGGGGCATGCTGGTTCAGAACATGAGCCTTGTGACACCTAGTGTAAAATGAGAACTACAAGAGAAATTATTGTTACCGTTGATTTTATGTGTAGAGCCCTTAACTCAGTACTTGATGCACAGAGCTGGGTAACGGGCACCATTGTCTGAACCTGAGTTAAACATTGCCTGTGATCTTGATGAGTTGTCGTACTCTGATACAGCACATTAAAACCATGTTTAAATTACCTCATATAAAAGCTAAATGGTATCTTAAAGATCATCTCACGTCGTTCATTTCATCTGAGACAAGAGTGAAAATGTGACTTGCACAGTTACCACAGCTTGTTGAAGGAAAAAAAAATACGGAGGAAAAACAAAGGTAGTCAGAGACCAAACCAGGTTACATGCCATGGTTTTATGTAAAGTGTGAAAGGAAAAATAGGAAAGAGATAATAATTAGTTGGTCTTTTGAGGGCTTAACTCGGAAGGCTACCTTTGAGGAGTAATCTTATTTTCTAGAAAAAAATGCTATTATTTGGCCTGCTGGATAGCTCTACCTCTATTTCTTATTGACATTTTAAATTCAACATGAAAAAACCAAGTTGAAATCACTACATGTTAAAACTGAAAAGGATCTCACATTGCCTCCAGTTCAATTTCCCATTTTGCAGATGTAGAAAACAGATCCTTCCCTGGGGTGGAGGTCTCTTTTTTATTTATAGCTTTTTTTTTTAGACAGAGTCTCACTATGTTGGTTGCCCATGGTACAGTGCCATGGCATCACAGCTCACAGCAACTGCAAACTCTTAGGTTTAAGTGATTCTCTTGTCTCAGACTCCCAAGTACCTGGGACTACAGGCACCTTCCACAATACCCAGCTGTTTTTTTGGTGGCAGTTGTCATTTTTTTTGGTTGTTGTTTAGCAGGTTCAGGCCAGGCTCGAACCTGCCAGCCTCGGTGTATGTGGCAGGCGCCCTACTCACTGAGCTATGGGCACCGAGCCTTATTAATAGCTTTTTATTGGTAACTTTTTATTGATAGCTCTGTGACCACTTTTGCCTAGGTTGCAGATCATTTCTTTAGGCATAGAGGGAGTCTTTGAAGTTCATCCTGGCTACAAACAACCCTTGCCCTTGTTTACAGTAGCGGCTTCCTTCTTCCCTCCCTCCCTCCCTCCGTCTCGATAGATAGTTGAGGAGAGATCAGGAAAGGGAAAGAATGAGCTCTACCCTGATTGCTTGGCCCCATTGTCCCAGAGGTGAAGAACCGCTGAAATGCCTTAGAGGTTAGGAAGCAGTTTGGAGCCTAACTGGCAGTGACAGTTGGCATGAATGACGACACCAGTGGTGTTTCTGCTCTAGAAGTTCCCCAGTGACTCTAACACATGCCCTGGAGTGATGGTTTTCAATTCTTTCTATAATCTGAGAACTAACAACCAGGCCATCATCACAACCAGGACTTTAATGAACTCTAAGCTGTCATTTAAAACACTCATCAATCACATTTGTTTTTATTTACACAGACAAGCAGTGTTGGTGTGACTTAAGTTGCCTTGAAAAGATAATCTTATTAGTATAGACATAGCCCAAGAAGAAAAGCTCAGCAGTGTTAGAGTTTTTGGTCTCACATGAATCCCTATAATGTTTCGATGAATTTTAAAATACTTGGTGTATTTTTAGTAATTATTTTTATATTATTTTTAATTTTGAATTTTAGTCAGCAACTGATTAAGCCCTGTGCCAGATACTGTGAAGAGATAGAGGGAACATAGGACAAAGTCCTTGCCCTCACATTTGAGTCACCCTGAATACAGAATGAAGAACGTGACCTTTTAGATTTTTTCCATTGTAATTCATTTTACCACCTGAGCTTTTGTATTGTGTAATTTTTAATTTTAATTCACTAATTTGTAAAGCATGTTCATGACTGGAAATTCCGTAATTTAAGGTTGTATGCTTTCTTTCAAATTATTATTAGATTGTAAGACTGGAGAAAGATAAAGAAGAACTGCGTAACCAGCTGCTTAGTGTTGATCTCACAAGAGACAGCAAACGAGTGGAGCAACTTGTTCGAGAAAAAGTTCAATTGTGTCAGAAATTAAAAGGTTTAGAGGCTGAAGTAACAGAATTAAGGGCTGAAAAAGAGAATTCTGATGCTCAGGTAGAAAGTGCCCAAAGAATACAAGTGCGGCAGTTGGCTGAGATGCAGGCTACGATCAGATCCCTGGAGGTAAGGTTTTAATTGCTTCCCAGTAGAGAATGGCATACTTTTTAAAAATGCAATGGACAAGCCTTTACTTTTTAGATTATAAGTGTATGCTCACTAATCTAATGCTTACGCATTTGTGGAATCCCCAGAGTATGTATTCTTTTTGTAAAGATGAAAGCTATTGATTTGTAAGCAGTACTGTGCTACCACGTTTACAAAGGGATATTTGTTCTTTGGGAGTCAAGTTACCTATCTCAAGTGACTTAACTCTTATAATGCCACATAATGGAATACGCAAAATGAAAAATACATATATTAGAGCTTCTGGAGACTAAATCATCTCAAACCAGAAAGAATAATTTCTTCCAAGATAGTATGTTCTTTACATTGGGATTTGAGATCTTAAAATTATAAATCTTATTTGAACAGAAATACTATCTTACATATCTTATGACAGCTTCTTGCCATAGTAGTAAAATTCAGCTTGGCTACTAATACATACAAACCTTTACTGAATTATTTTCCTGAGTTCATTAGAGAAAGTTAAGTGTTGGCAGAGTCAGTCTAGTACTCTTACAAAGGTATTGCTGTTTGAAAATTCTCAGTTTCCATTTTATTCAGATGTGCTTACTCCCCTAGTTCTTAGTGCTTGACTTGTAGCAATTATGCCAATTTAATTTTTTTTCATTTATTTGATGCAGTTCAAAGTGTTTTTTATCCCTCCTTTGGAATGGGTATGAAATGATTTGGGTTGGAGGGAAATTAATGGGCACCTGGTTTGTAGTTAAAATTCAATATCCAACCCCCAAAATTATTTTCCAGCCAACAAGCTGGTACAAGGCATACATTGATACGTTTTGAAGAGTAGAAGTCACTTTTTTATTTTTTGCCTGAAGCGCTGTCAGTATTTATTGGTTTTCTGAATTAAAGTTGTCAATATCATTGGACCTTAGACATGGAGCAGTTCATTTCAGAGTGAGACTGTTTATGTTGCCATCTTTCCACCTTTAATGTATTAATATTTTACATAGTGACAGAATAAGTGAGATGATTGCAGTCGAATATAGTATGTAGTTCCAGTGTGGAACTTCACTGAGTTTGTTTGGAGTGATTATTTTCAGGGCAAGTTGAATGATGACAAAAAGATAGAAGGTTCATCATTTTCAAGAGTCTATATTTAATTTTATCGCTAAGGCGCCAGCCACATACACCTAAGGTGGTGGGTTCGAATCCAGCCCAGGCCCGCCAAAACAACAATGATGGCTGCAACCAAAAAATAGCCAGGCGTTGTGGCGGGCGCCTGTGGTCCCAGCTGCTTGGGAGGCTGAGGCAGGAGACTCACTTGAGCCCAGGAATTGGAGGTTGCTGTGAGCTGTGATGCCATGGCACTCTACCCAGGGGGATAGCTTGAGGCTCTGTCTCAAAAAAAAAAAAATTATCATTTGTCAGATGAAATTAAAATAAGCACATGATAGCAAGTATTTCTTTTTTTAACTTTCTTGGCGTGTATGCCCAGAGAGTATGATTTTATATTTAAAGAAAACAGGTTTTTTCCTCCAAATTATTTGTTACATACACTCATTATCATATTGAAGATACGGATAGTCTCCAACCTAAGATGGCTTGACTTAATGATTTTTTACCTTATGATGGTATGAAAGCAGTATGTATTCATTAGAAACTATACTTTAAATTTTAGGGTTTGTTTTTTGTTGAGAGAGAGTGTCTGTTGCCTAGGCTAGAGTGCTGTAGCACTAGTTCACAGCAATCTCAAATTCCTGGTCTCAGGTGATCCTGCTGTCTCAATCTCTTGAGTGACTGGAACTACAGGCTGCTGCCACAATGCTTGGCTAATTTTTCTATCTTTAGTAGAGACTTGCTATTGCTCAAGTTGGTCTCGAACTCTTGAGCTTACTCAGTCCTCCCACTTCGGCCTCCCAGAGTACTAGGATTACAGGCATGAACCACCATACCAAGGCGAATTTTGGATTTGGATATTTTCCCAGGCTATGATCTGACTATCTTGAGGCTGGGTAGTGGCACCAAACCACAGCTCCTGGTCATCCACATAATCGTGAGGGTAAACCATCTCTACATGGAGCTGTGTTGCCAGATGATTTTGCCCAACTGTAGGCTAATGTAAATGTTCTGAGAACATTTAATACAGGCTAAGCTAAGCTATAATGTTTGGTAGGTATATTAAATGCATTTGGGACTTTGGTACTTTGAATTTGCAATGAGTTTATCAGAATGTAACCCTATTGCAGATGGAGGGCATCAGTGTAAAGTAAATGAGATGATAGAGTTAAGCTGAAGCTATTCCTTTAAATGCCAACATTTTTCATTTTAATTATTTTGAGTAATATTTTTTAAAGCCTTTAGTTTTTTGTCTCTAATTAAAGAGTACAATGAGTGTTACCAACAAGAAATTTTTTTGAAACAGACTTCATTAAGAATTTTAATTATATGAAGAGGTGAAGAGCTTCTTTGCTTATACTTCAGAAGTCTCCAGATGAGTGAGGATTTCTAATTCTTCTCTCTCCCTTACTCCAAAAAAAAATCTCCACTGATTTAGATCTTCAATTTGCACTACTTACTACTGTTGATGAGCTCTCTCTTCTGTCTTGAAATATGCTTTTCCATATCTGCTGTGGCCTGGAAATTCCCCAAAATATTTGTTTTAATTATGTCTGGGTTGAGTTAATAGGTATTAAATTAATAACTTAAGGACTTTCTCTCAGGAGAGAAGTATACGAGCTTTATTTTGCTAGTGGCTATTGATACGTTGTTTGTCCAGAATACCTTTTGTGGCATATTTCCTGGAGCAAATACCTTTCATTTGAATTCTACCACTTAGTTTGAGAAAACTCTTATTATTTTGGTACATGTTAAAATTGTTGAGATTTTGAATAACTTTTTGTCTAATTATATGTGTATTTTAAATAGTGCTTATTTTGTTTTGATAAAGTTGTGAAAAATTATGAACAAATTTTAAAATATTTTGTTTTATTAAAAGGCTGAAAAACAGTCAGCTAAACTACAGGTCGAACGCTTGGAAAAAGAACTACAATCAAGTAATGAACAAAACACCTTTTTAAATACTAAATTACATAAAGCTGAACGGGAAATAAACACATTGACCAGTACAGTAAGTTATTTCATGCTTCTATTTCATTCTTTTAGAATGCTTCATACTATATGATAAAGACATTTTGTTTTTAATAGTTTAGTTCTCTCTACTTTAATCTTATTTTATTATATTGACCTTCCATTAAAGAAATGCATTGACTAGTAGAGTATATCATCTTATGCTGCTTCTTCATTCTTTTTGTTTTTTTCCTTAGAGACAGGATCTTGCTCTGTCACTTAGGCTAGAGCAGCCTGCTCATAGGTCACTATAACCCCAGACTCCAGCCAAATTATTCCACTCTTGTAATGATAAGATACATGTAGATCATGCTGCTAATATTAATTAATTTACTAAAGAAGTATTTATCAGGTACCTACTATGTGCCAGCACTGTTCTAGGAGCTAGAGAAAGAATAGTGACAAAAACAATGTCCCTATTCTCTTAAAGCTTACATTTGATTGAGAGGAATCTGGTGGGAAAGAAAAGGTGGGATAAAAAGTAAATAAATATAAATATATCAGGCAGTATTAAATGCTATTAAAAATAAAGCAGGTAAGGAAGATAGTAAGGCAGAGGGAGTGGGAAGATGCTGTGTACTAAGTGAGCAGACGGAAGGCCTCTGAGTAGATGGTTTCTGAAGGAGGTGAGGAAGCAAAGCATGTCAGTATATGAGGGAAACACAGCAGTGGCTCCCATCTGTAATCCTAGCACTCTGGGAGGCTGAGAAGGATGCAGTGCTGAAGCTCAAGAATATGAGACCACCCTGAGCAAGAGTGAGACCCCATCTCTACTAAAAACAGAAAAACTAGCCAGGTATTGTGGCGGGCACCTATAGTCCCAGCTACTCGGAAAGCTGAGGCAAGAGGATTGGCTTCAAGTCAAGACTTCGAGGTTACTGTGAGCTAGGCTGATGCCATGGCCCTCTACCCTGGGTGACAGAGTGAGATTCTGTCCCTCCCCCCGCCAAATGTAATAATTTGAATATTCCAAAAACATTTTTGTATATAAAGTTTTCCTTAGAAACATAAAGATTTTTCTTCCTCAAATGCAATATGTGTGTGTGTGTGTGTGTGTGTGTGTGTGTGTATACATATGCATATTCTAATAACCAGAAATAGGTTAGCAGTAATAAAAATATGTTATCCTATATTGGCCTCTGAAGTCAAACAGACTAGATTCAGATTCAGTTCTTTCCCTTTCTAAAGGTGTGTGACCTTGGGCATTTCACTTTCTCTTGGAAACTTGAGTGTCTTCATCTGTAAAATGGAACTAATAACCTGCTTTCTAGAGTTATGGCAAAAATTGAGAGACACTGTGCATAAAGAATGTTAATGTGTTTTTTTTTTTTTTTTTTTTTTGAGACAGAGCCTCAAGCTGTCCCCCTGGGTAGAGTGCCATGGCATCACGCTCACAGCAACCTCCAACTCCTGGGCTCAAGCGAGTCTCCTGCCTCCACCTCCCAAGTAGCTGGGACCACAGGCGCCCGCCACAACGCCCGGCTATTTTTTGGTTGCAGCCGTCATTGTTGTTTGGCGGGTCCGGGCTGGGGATTCGAACCCGCCACCTTAGGTGTACGTGGCTGGCGCCTTAGCCGGTTGAGCTATAGGCGCCGAGCCAAGAATGTTAATGTGTTATTATGGGGCTAACAAATAATCACTCAGGCTCAGCGCCTGTGGCTCAAGTGGCTAAGGCACCAGCCACATACACCTAAGGTGGCAGGTTTGAATCCAGCCCAGGCCTGCCAAACAACAATGATGGCTGCAACCAAAAAATAGCCAGGTGTTGTGGCAGGCGCCTGGGATCCCAGCTACATGGGAGGCTGAGGCAGGAGACTCACTTGAGCCCAGGAGTTGGAGGTTGCTGTGAGTTGTGATGCCACAGCATTCTACCCAGGGTGACAGCTTGAGGCTCTGTCTCAAAAAAAAAAAAGCCAACAACAAATAATCACTCAAATATCAGCCATTATTAAGACTTAGGTCATTTCTAAGAATTTGGAAATAGACTCATTGGTTTCTGAGTCAATGAAATCGTTGGATTTTCTGTAAGGGTAGCATTATATAGAATGATCTAAAACAGGATGGCCCCAGGATTAGAAGGCACTCCCTATAGCCTAGTAGAAATATATGAATTTATCTAAAGGAATAATGCATTCATTATAAATTCCTTAGCCAACTAATTGTTTGAGAAGACCAAGAGATAGTATTTATGAGAGATGGGAGAAAGAATTTTAGTCAGTAGAATTTATTCTGGTGCTATTGAAAAGATTATTCTTAATGTGGAGATGAATAAACCAATCTGTTTTAGTCTGTGGTCATGAGAGAATTCATTCATCTCCGTCAGTCTGTTCTGATTCCATAATCACCAGGCAACCTTCTTAACTGTTACTTGACTTCCCAGTGTAATTTTTTTTTACAGGGAGAGGAGATACTAATCCTTGAGATTTACAAATATTTTAGTTATTGTTATATTTTTTCCTCCTAATTACTAAATTGGCATTGTGATTTTATAGCTCACTCTTTTTAAACTTCATTAATGTGAGTCTGACCTTGAGAGTCTTCTTCAAGCGTGGTGACAAAATTGGATTTCTGTGCCTGAAAGGCTAAAACCATAGTTCTAAATGTATTGGATGTTACCTGTGGGAGATAGTCTACCCCGATTTTCTCATGGCAAACAAATACTGTATTACATTTGCATTATATGTCTAGTGACTCTTTGAATTTCTTTTTTATAGTTTACATTACAGGGGTCCTCAAACTTTTTAAACAGGGAGACAGTTCACTGTCCCTCAGACTGTTGGAGGGTTGGATTGTGGGGCCCCGGGACGAGTCAGTTGCTAAGCAGGACAGGCAGTGGCGGCAAAAACACCCGGAGGTCTGGATAAATGTTTTAGGCAGGCTGCGTGTGGCCTGCAGGCTGTAGTTTGAGGACACCTGGTTTACAAAGTATTTTTGTAGCCAGTATCTATTTAATTCAATAGACATGGCTGGCACTAAAAAGAATAAGTGAAATTTAGGCAAATAGAATTTTTAATTGTCAAAATATTTTAAGTGCAGTCAGGTAATTTGTAGGTTGAAATTCATATATATTTAGAAATTAGAAAGTACCATTTTGGAGCAGGTAATGAAGTGAAATAGAAAAGTCCTGGGTTTCAGATCAGATGATGCTGTCTTTGAATCCTGACTCATTGAGTTCACACACCACCTGTGTGACTTCTGGTTTGCATAACTTTTAAATGGGGACAATACCTATCTCATGGGATTTTTGTGACTATTAAAGATAGTGTTCAACACACCAAATATTGGCTGGTGAAAATAACAGTGACAATGATTATAGACTAGTGATATCCTTAAATAAGAAAATGAAACATAGAGAATACAGAATTTTTAGCCCATTGACTAGTTTGTTCCTCACTGTATCAATAACTGTGTGTAACCTTAGGTGAGTTACTTAACATCGTTGGGATCTAATTTCCTCATAGGTGAAAAGAGGTGTTGTTCTAGCTGACCTCTAAGAACACTTCCAGCCTACTAAGATTGTGTAAGTCCTACTGGAAAATGAATTAATAATTTAGTTCTTGATTAACTGTAAGTAGCTTATTTATATATTCAACGAATACATATTAAATGCCTAGAATTATAGAGTATACAAAAAATAGATATAAGACACAAAAAAGTAAATTTAGAATGTAGGGAATTCTCTCATGCTTTTCTTCCAATTCCAGTGTAAATTATTTATTTATTTTTGAGACAGAGCCTCAAGCTGTTGCTCTGGGTAGAGTGCTGTGGCATTACGGCTCACAGCAGCCTCCAACTCCTGGGCTCAAGCCATTCTCTTGCCTCAGCCTCCCAAGTAGCTGGAACTACAGGCGCCTACCACAACACCTGGCTATTTTTTGGTTGCAGTTGTCATTGTTGTTTGGCAGAACCGGGCTGAATTCGAACCTTCCAGCTCTGGTTATATGGCTGGCCCCTTAGCTGCTTGAGCTACAGGCTCTGAGCCAATATAACTTATTTTTAATTCTGTAAAAATAATACCAAGTAACCAGTATTTCTAACATGTTGTTCTGGACCTGAGTAGAGAGACTGGCCTCCTGGAATAACTGGAACCATAGATGTAGCGATAGGACATTGGATATACTGGGCTTCTACTGAGACTTCTCTCTTGGGCATCACCGAGTATTTTTCCTAAGCTTCAAGGCTCACCTGTGTGCTGAGCCTGAATCTTGTCTTTTTTCTGTACATATACTCTCTCTCTTTTTTTTTAATTGAATGGTAACTATGTACATTAATGCACTTCTGGGGTACAGTGTGGGGTTTTCACACACAATCCGAAACGCTTCCATCAAACTGGTTAACATAGCCTTCATGTCATTTTCTTAGTTATTATTTTAAAACGTTCACATTCTACTCTTAGAAAGATTCACTTGTACCCTTGTAAGATAAACCTCATGTACATACACTCTTTATCGCTCTTTTTAGAGTTTGAGCATAGATGATTTCTCCTATTTTGCTGAAGGAAGAACAGCAGTTTAGTATAGAATTATTTCTCTGAGCTTGTTTATTAACACACACTTTAAGAGTTGCTTGTCTTTTTAAAGGTACACTTGCATTATTTTGCATAGAAACGGAATATTAAAAACCATCCTTCCACTTTAGAGAAACCAAGTTTCATTTTAAATCTTGCATATCAAAAGATTCCATTGGAAGGACAAATTTTATAATAATATTTCAAACATGACTGTCACAGTTTTCTTTGCAATATGAAATTTTCATCAACATTTTGCACTTCTAGCAAATGGTTGTTTGCAATGCAAAGGAACACCTGGAGTGTGTTTGTCTAAATTATTCAAATTTGTAAATGTTGTTAAATTTTAGAAAAAAGTTTTACCAGTATGACTATCAATCTTGCATTAGAAGGTATTACCAAAGATGGCTTGAAAATCACCTTAAAGATATTTCACAGTGAGGTATATTATTCTAGTTACCCCTGGAGGTTTTTGACCTTTGGAATATCAATAAAAAATAGTTTTAAGGAAGCTGTGCCACAGAGTTATCCTTTTTTAGCTAAATTAGTGAGATCATACTATTATAGAACTTTGAAAAAAAATCGTAATTTCTATATCATCTCTTTGGAATTTGCTTCCGCATCTTCTTAGATAACACATTTTTCAACTATATATTAGTTTCTTATATGTATTATTTTATTTTGTGTTACTGTGCAGAGATGTGTGCTTTCACAAATTCTGAACCCCTGTAAAATACTCAGTATTGCCATTTTTGACATTTGTTAAAGTTGTGTTAGTTATTTTATTTTATTTTTTTTTTATTTTTTTTTATTTTTTGAGACAGAGCCTCAAGCTGTCCCCCTGGGTAGAGTGCCGTGGCATTACAGCTCACAGCAACCTCCAACTCCTGGGCTCAAGCGAGTCTCCTGCCTCCGCCTCCCAAGTAGCTGGGACCACAGGTGCCCGCCACAACGCCCGGCTATTTTTTGGTTGCAGCCGTCATTGTTGTTTTGGCGGGTCCGGGCTGGGGATTCGAACCCGCCACCTTAGGTGTACATGGCTGGCGCCTTAGCCGGTTGAGCTATAGGCGCCGAGCCAGTTGTGTTAGTTATAATCTCTGAATACTTTCATTGTATCAAAAGTGCAAAGCAATTCCACAGTATAAAGGCCAGAATCTACATGGAAAACACTTTGTGAAAAACAAGGTGACTTGGCTCAGAGAATCTTTAGAAGACTGCAAATCTCTTGAAATTTTATGCATCATTTTAATGTTGTACATTTTATTTAAATAAATGGTTTCTAGTTTTCTAGGATTTGGGGGATCTGATCACAAAGGAGATTAAGGACCAGAGTTCTGGAGGCAGAAAGAAACTTTTTTGTGGCTATTTGGGACTTGGTTCAGATTACTCATAGAAAAGTGCTAAGATTTTTCACTACTAGGTAATAAATTTTCATATAAATTTTTTATTTTTATTATTTATTTATTTTGAGACAGAGCCTCAAGCTGTCCCCCTGGGTAGAGTGCTGTGACATCATGGCTCACAGCAACCTCCAACACCTGGGTTCAAGCGAGTCTCCTGCCTCTGCCTCCCAAGTAGCTGGGACCACAGGCGCTCGTCACAATGCCCAGAAGTTTTTTATTTTTAATAACAGTTCCCTTTAGAATATTTTTAGGAAACTAACAGTTAACTATTAATATAAGTGCATTCATCATTTTATTATTATAGAAATAAAGCACTAAAGAAAAACTTTTAAGTGGATAAATTTGAATTCAGAGGATAAGTCATATGCGCATGTACCACTGTTGTACCAGTAAAAGTAGACTCAAAGTCAGACTTCATTTGTTGGCTTCACTTCCTTCCCAGTATCCTTTCAGTTTCAATAATTGCAGTGTAGTTGAAAATATTTTCTCATTTCAGTAAATTGCAGGGTGAAATGAATAAGAAATAGGTTTTTATTTTGTAGTTCTTGAAGTTACCATGAAATCAATCAACTTTCTATGAAATAAGATGGTTCTAATTTTCTACCTCATATTTAAAGCAGCTACAGTATGGTATGTTAATGAACTGTGATGTCATTCTTAACCTTTTGCAGTTAGTATACAGTAGCAGAGGTTATCCTTAAATCCGTCATAGCAATTCATTTGTCACTGTTGTGTATTTCTTCAAACTTTTAAAGCATTTATAATTTAAATTCTGTCCATGAAATTATAATGTAATAAACTCAATCTACAGAAGGTTTAGGTATTAAAATAAATATAATTTTTTAGCTGCTTTCAAGTAGTTAAACATTTTATGAGACTCACAGAAAAGAAGATCAGAAAGAAGCTTTTAAAAGTGCAAGACTGATGTCAGCACAAGGTAGCCATTTTATGTACTGTCATTTAATAAAAGTCTGCAAATTAATTGGGAAGGATGTCTTATTGTAGTTAGCAGTACAAAGGCAATACAATATTATCTCTCCTGTTTGTTTCCTTTAAATGAGAATTTTGCTTGGAACCATTCCTTGCAGCATTTTTAGAGCCAGTACTACACTTATCTCTTGTCCTTACCCTCCTTGGGTCTAGGAGTTTTTCTTTGTGTCTCACTCGTAACTCCAATTCTTTTAGGGTTTATTGGCTTCTAAGTAAATTACCCTTACTCTTCTATTTCTACCATCTCAGATTTTATATACAGTATTTGACTTGTATATGTTTGTAGTTTTTCTACTCTGATTCCATAGTTCTACATGTAAATGTAATAAGAATACAGGTTTATTGAACCTTTACATTTGTGTTGATTAAATCCTTATCATGGTACTATATCTAATTTTAGAAGCACCTTACCAAAGAGAGAAGAGCTATGGAAGATATTGGAAAGTAGTGCAGTTAATTGGAAAGACAAGGCTTTCTTGTTTTGCTGTTGTAGCTTCAGCTCAGCTCTAAAACAGTGCCTGGCATATAGTTAGGTGTTCAAGAAATATTTGTTGAATGAAAGAAGGAATATTTATTATAAACTAGAATTATTCACCTTTCTTTTTTTTGTATGAAAGGTCTTTATTGGCAGGGGGAGGGAGGCTGCAGAGCAGCACCAAGGAGGAGAGAAAAGGAGAAGAGAAAATGGGATGAGAGATGAGGAGAGAGTAGAGAAGAGAGAGGGAGAGCAGAGAAGAGGGAGAGAGGGGGAAGAAGGGGAGAGAGAGGGAGGAGAAACGTACTCTTATATAGGGAAGTCTCAGAATGAATCTATTATTCACTTTTCAAAAGGGATCTCTCAGTGAAGACTGAAAAATGTCACATGATATGTTGATTACATGGAAACTATTGATAATTATATTAACTTGGGGCTTTAAAAGAATAAGGTTTTACACACTAAAAGATTTAATTTATATGATTTATAGATGTTCCTCCCTCTCACCCTCCACCCCATGCTTGCGCATACACATACATATACACGTAAATTATTTAGTCACCAAATTTAGCTGATTTTTTTCTTGTGCCCTTTGGTAATTCCTTGCCTCCATCTTCAACAGCTAATAGGATATACAACCCTTTTGTATGGCATGTAAAGTTTATTCCCTGTTATTTTGCCACAGATTTTATGCCTCCCTGCACCCTATCATTTCTAATCCAGTTTTTCTGCCACCCATATACTCCCTAGCTCTTACTTATTTGGGGTGGAAAAGAGATTGGTGGATTACTTGTAATTATCCTATAGCTTTAAAAGGGAAAAACATAAATGTGAGCTCACCTAGTGATTTTATTATCTATTTTAGTTTACATACCACATGATGTTATCTGGCATTTTATATGCCGTTCCTTCTGTTTAGAGTGCCTTTTGTTCCCACTACTTTTTTTGTGTGTGCAGTTTTTTGGCAGGGGCTGGGTTTGAACCCACCACCTCCGGTATATGGGGCTGGCGCCCTACTCTTTTGAGCCACAGGTGCCGCCCTTGTACCCACTACTTTTGTGAAAGTGAAGTTCAGTTTTTTTCCCTGTAGATGTTTCAGCCATTGACTATTTGATCTTAGATACTTGCACTTAAGTCTTTTAAGGCAACATTAAGCCAGATGACCCCCCCCCCACACACACATAGTATTTGTAAAGAAATTTCTTAGTTCTATTAGGAAAAGACCTGTTTCCTTTGTGTCTCCTCATGCTAAGTACTGTGCCATTACTTTTCTTTTTGATACCTTCCTGAGAGGTACTTGCACTCTATACTCTGCTATCAATATGTTTTTCTCATTTCCACTTATGTTTTTGGGTATTAAGTGACAAGAAAATGACCAATGGTAATTTTAATTTCTGATTATCAACAGGTAAAAGAACTGAAACATTCAAACAAACTAGAAATAACAGATATCAAACTGGAGGCAGCAAGAGCTAAGAGTGAGCTAGAAAGAGAAAGGAATAAGATTCAAAGTGAACTGGATGGTAATACATGATTTCCCATACTTTTTCTTGTTTTCAAATGTAAACTATTAAAATAGATCATCCTAAATTTTTATTCTCAGATTTTCAGTTTAATTGAAATTTTAAAACATGTGGAATGTGTTTACTTATATATTTTGTTCATTATGAGATACTTTTTAAAAGAAATATTGTGTTCATGTCATAGTTATTTGATTAATACTTAAGTTACATCAAACTTTGAAAATGGAATAATTCTATACTTATCAGATTTATCATTTTAGGTCATGTAGTTAATAGACCCAGGGCATTTTAAATCTAAAGAATGTCCTTAGCTAGGTTCTAGGTTTAATTTTTATGTAAACCTTAGGCTAGTTATTAGAGCCTAGTTCAGTGTAGACTTATTTTTAAGCTCAAATTTAGTCATACATGTATATCTTATCAGTTCTTGTCAGAATTTATATTGTTTCTACCTTTTTTAAGCACTTAAGTAACCTGCCTTTGCCCTGCATTTGTTTTTGAGTTGACCTATATTGAACTGGCCTCTGTGGTTTCAGGCAGTTTATAATGATTCCTTTTTTTAGATGGGGTCTCACTATGTTGGTTAGGCTGGCCTTGAACTCCTAGGCTCCACCAGTCCTCCCGTCTCAGTTTCCCAAGTAGCTGAGTCTATAGGCTCGGGCCACTGTGCTCAATTGCTGTGAATGATTTTTTTTAAATTGTTAATTTCTACTTGTTGACTCATGCATTTCTACAGGGTTAGGGAATAAATTAGGAATTTAAAAGAGTTTGGGGGATCTAGTGCTACATTCTGTTTTTATTTTGAGTTAGATATGAATTTGCTTCAGTTATTCTGTCTGTAAAATAGTACTTGCCATCTTGTCACAAAGATGATTTGTGAATTCATTGGACAAACCTGAAGTTTCCATGTTATTTATATTTCTGCTGGAATCATAGGTTTTGTGATTTTATTCACCCTGCCACTGGCCAGCTTTGTTACGATGTTGTCTTTGGGGCTTAGATCACAGAACTCCTTTAGATGTGAATGAAGTAAACCTCTTTGGATATCATCCAGGTTGATCTCTTCAGCTCTCAAGATTCAAATGAGTAAATGTATATAGTATTTTATTAAAGTATGTGTGTATATATGCTAAATAAAAGGAAAGAAAAAATCTAGTTTTAGTCTGCTTTGTTTTTATTTTAAGTTATCAGTGAGGATCTTTGAGAATACATGTCCAGAGTCACACCAGCTTGTGAATGCCTATTGTAATTGTGATTTTTTAATCTTAATAGAACTGAATATAGTACATTTTTCTCCTTAAAAAAAATACTAGGATCACAGTCAGACAATGAAATTCTCAAATCAACTATTGAACACCACAAAATGCTCTTAGTAGAAAAGGATCGTGAATTAATACGTAAAGTACAAGCTGCCAAGGAAGAAGGTTATCAAAAACTTGTGGTATTGCAAGAGGAAAAGTAAGTGCTTAATTACCTTAGTTTGCGTTAAATCTCCTTGCAAATGAAAGCATTCTGCTGTCATATCATCTTTATTGTAGTTCTTGTAACATAATTATCATCTGTTGTTTTAGGTTAGAACTTGAGAGCAGATTAGCAGATTTAGAGAAAATGAAAGTGGAACAGGATGTCTTGAAGCAATCGGAAAAGGATCAGTGTGAAGAGAAATTGCGGGCTTCACAGATGGCAGAAGAGTCGGCCAGAAGGGAACTTCAGAGTATTAGGTTATATATATGCATATATGTTTTAAAATTTTTTCATTGTGAAATGATGTCAGAGTTAACAAAATGATGTAAAAGTAGTATAAAGAATTCCCATATACCCTTCCCTCATTCCCTAAATATTACATCTTAACTAAACACATTAATCAAGTCTTAAGAAATTAACCCCCATACCCTAAATATTACATCTTAATTAAACACATTACTATAATCAAGACTAAGAGATTAACATTACTATAATCAGAAAACCAAATAAACATTACTGTTATCAAATGTATTGACTACATTCAAATTTTGCTATATGTCCCACTGATATCATTTTTCTGATCTAAGATCTAACCCAGGTTCACACATTGCTTGTACTTAGTTTCCTTTATTCTGGAACCTAGTAAACTTTTGGCAAGTTCTTTTTTGGTTTCTTTTAGGTTATCAGTGTCTTTATTCATGTTTACATTTTGTTCTTATATCATTTTCATGACTTTTTCTGTATCTTCCTTCAGTCTTTTGAGAATTTTTAAGATGTTTTAATGTCTCTGTTTACTAAATATGCCATAGGTTCTTTTTCTGGGACAGTTTCTGTTTGTCTTTAAATGGACTATACTTTTTTGTTTCTTTGAATGTCTTAGAATCTTTTGTTGAAAACTGGGCATTTAATGTGTTAACTTCAAAAATCAGAATCTCCCCATTCCCTAGGGTTTCCTGGGTTTTGGCATTGTTTTTGTCTATTATTTTCATTTTTCTTATAGTAGCCTGCCTCTGTGTCAAAGATTAGTCTGTGGTATAAATTGAAGGTCTTCTCATGTCTTTTCTGAACCTTTGTCTTTCTTTGGGTCTGCAGCCACGTTCTGATTTTCTTCATATACACAGCTGTTTTTAAGTATCCGTAGTCTTTATTGTCTGGCTCCCTAAAGAGCAAAATAGGAAAATGAAGGGCCTGGGTGGGTGGGGGGACTGCTGAGTGCCAGTCCATTAAATCCTCTGGTAGTCATTTCAGCCAGAGGGAGCGAGGCTTTCAACAGTTGTGAGAGGAGCAACTACAATAGCTTCCTACCTAACTTTCCACCTCTGGGATCATAAGCAGTCAACTGTCATCAGAGCACAGATCTCTAGTATTTGGAGGACAGGGTGCTTTTTCCCCCCGACCCTGACTCCCAATCTCTTTGAAAGTTCCTCCTGAAACTCTTGAAGAACTGTCTGCTCTTAGTCTAGGGTTGTGGGATGGGTAACTGCTACTGTACTCAGAGTTGAAATTGACTGAAATTAACCACAATTTACAGACCAAGCCTCCTACTAGAAGTTGTAAGCCTTCAGTAGACTCCAGATTTCCAAAATAGTTACATCAGACAGATTCCACCAGTGCAATTATTGCCTAATGGGGAGATAGGTTCCTGGTGTTTCCTATTTCACCATCTCCCCAGAATCCTCTGAATTAAATTTTTAAACTTAGGGAGAACTGACATTTTTTTGATGTTGGGTTGTCCTTTCCTACAGTAGAGATGTGTTTCCATTTTTTGAAGTTTCCTTTTGTGTTTTTTCGAGAGAGTTTTAAAATTTTCTTCATGTAGTTTTGGCGTATTTCTTGTTAAGCTTATTTTGAAATATTTAATTTTGGTTTCTTTTATAAAGGTATTTCTTCTTGTCCTTCAGTTGGTATTTGTTTATGAAGATTATTAATTTTTATAGGTTAATTTCATGTCTTACTAACTTGCCAAATTCTTTTATTGTTCAAATCCATTTTATTTTGAGTTATCTAGGGTTTCCCAGGTATACTATCATATTTTCTACAAATAAAGGTAATTTTACTTCTTTACCTTCTAATTGATTTATCTGATTGCATTGGCAAGTACCTCCACTACAATACTGAATAGTATTAGAGACCATAGGCATCCTTTCCATGTTCCTCCTGTTGGAACTCTTTCTTCACTGATTAAGTTGCTAGCTTTAGGATCGAAATGTATGTATATTTTATCATTCAGGAACATATTCATCAATTCTTAATTTCTTGTGTTTTTACGAGGCATGATGTTAAAAATTCTCAAATGTTTTCAAATGTTTTCTAGCATCTCTGGAGACAATCGTGATTTTTTCTCTTTTAGCTTTATTAAGATGGTGTATTAATAGATTTCTTAATATTAAACCAGCCTTGATTTCTGAAATAAACTCCCTTTGACCTTAGTTTCTTCCCTCCCTCCCTTTTTCCCTCCCTGCCTGCCTTCCTTCCTTTAAAGTGAGGGTGTATTCTATTTGTTAATGTTTTGTGTACCTCTTGGTCTGTAATTGTTTTTTTTTCTTTTTGGTAATACTTAGGCATTAGTGTTACCCTTGTTCTTAAAAAGGATTAAGCAGTTTTCCTTGGTGTTCACTGCTCTGTGCTCTGAAATGTGGTGCTGTAAGACTATCAGGTATTTGAAGACTTGGTAGAATTCTCCTATGAACCCATTCAGGTTTACTCTTTTCTGGGACGCTTCTTGGATAGCTTTATCTGTTTCTTATATAGAAATCAGCTTGTTTAAGCTCTATCCCTAATGTAGTTGATTTTGATAATCTGTATTTTCACAAGGAATTCTTCATATTCTATATGTTTTCAAACTTAACTTGCACAGAGCTATATAAAATTGTATTTGTAATTTTTTTCTATTTCAATGCTTATTTACCCTTTATTATTTCTTTTTTCTTATTTCAGATTATGGGTACAAACGATTAGGTTACATTGTTTGGGTTTGTTAAGTAAAAACTACCCTTTGTTATTTTTCACGTTGTACATGTGTTTTCTTCTTTTTTTTCTTGGTGAAGTCAGTTAGTGCCTTTATATTTTATTTTTTTATTGTATGTATTTTTTCATTGTGGTAAAATATAGGTAACAGTGCAATATTTAAAATAAGGATTTTGATTTATTAATTGGATTAACTATTTTCTACCTCATAAATTTCAACTTTTATGTTTACTTTCTGTGTTTTTTGCCATTAAAAGTTTTTAAATTTTTATTGTTTAATGTACATAAAATAAAATTTATCCATTTAAATAACGTACGACTTGAATTTTAGTGATTGCATGTAGGTGTATAATTGTCGCCACAATAAAAATGTAGATCAGTTCCATCCCCTTAAAAGTTTTCCAAAGTCTTTTTTTTTTTTTTTTTTTTTTTGAGACAGAGTTTCATTCTGTCACCCCAGCTAGAGTACAGTGACATCATCATAGCTTACTGCAGCCTCAAACTCCTAGGCTTAAGAGATTCTCCTGCCTTAGCCTCCTGAGTAGCTAGCTGGGACTACAGGCCCATACCACTATGCCCAGCAATTTTTTTTTATTTTTTGTAGAGATAGGGATCTTGCTCTTGCTCAAGCTGGTCTTGAATTCCTGGCCTCAATTAATCCTCCTACCTCATGTCTTTTTACAGTTGAACCTCTTCCCTCGACCTTGGGCAACCACTCATACATGTTGTTGCATGTATCAGTCATTCATCACTTCTTATTGCTGAGTAGTAGTCACTGTATGAATATAATGAGATTTGTTTATTCATTTCCCTCTTGATGGACAAATAATTGGATTATTTTTAGTTTAGGACTAATATGAATAATGGTATTGTGAACATTTATGTATAAGTCTTTCTGTGGAAATACTTTTTATTTCTCCTGGATATATAACCCAGAAATGGGATTGCTGAGTCATATGGTTAAGTATATAATTTTATAGCATACAGAAATACTGCTTTCCAAAGTGGAAACGTTTTCCAAAATATTTTTATTTTGAGTAACAGAGTTTGAGAATTCTATTTTTTTTTTTTTTTGAGACAGAGTCTCACTATGTTGCCCTCAGTAGAGTGCCATGGCATCACAGTTCACAGCAACCTCAAATTCTTGGGCGTAAGTGATTATCTTGCCTCAGCCTCCCAAGTAGCTGGGTCTACAGGTGCCCACCACAATGCCGGACTATTTTTTGGTTGTAGTGGGTCCAGGCTGGATTCAAACCTGCCAGCTCTTGTGTATGTAGCTGGTGCTCTGGCCACTGAGCTATAAGTACTGAGCTTGAGAATTCTGTTTGTTCCACATTCTTGCACTTGGCTACTGTAGATCTTTTTTCTTTCTTTCTTTCTTTCTTTTTTTTTTTTATTAAATCATAGCTGTGTACATTAATGCAATTATGGGGTACAATGTGCTGGTTTTATATACCATTTGAAATATTTTCATCTAACTGGTTAACATAGTCTTCACTGCATTTTCTTAGTTATTGTGTTAAGATATTTATCCTCTACACTTAGTAAATTTAATATGTACCCTTGTAAAATGCACCATAATTGTGTTCCCACCCTCCTTCTACCCATCCTCCCCCCTCCCCGCCCCTCCCTCTCCTCTTTCCCCTTCTTCTTGGGCTATAGTTGGGTTACAGGATCTTTTTTCTTTAATTTCTAAATATTAATTAAAGGATACAAATATTTTTGTTATGTAGATACCTTGTGTAATGCTTAAGTCAGGGATTTTGGTGCACCCATCATCATAGTACTTACTGTTCATTATTCTTAATAGGTAAGTCTTTATTCCATACCCACCTTCCTTCCTTCCCTGCTTCTTGGTTTCTCAGCGTATGATATTTGGTTTTCCATTCCTGAGATACTTCATTTAGAATAATGGTCTCCAGTTCCAGCAAGTTGCTGCAAAAGAAATTATTTCATTTTTTTAAATGGCTGAATAGTACTCTATGGTGTGTGTGTATATAACCTCATTTTCTTTATCTCTTCATGAATTGAGGGGCACTTAGGTTGATTTCACATTTTTGCAGTTGTTTCTTTTTTTTGCAGTTTTTGGCCGAGGCCAGATTTGAACTCACCATCTCTGATATATGGGGCCAGTACCTTTACTCCTTTGAGCCACAGGCGCCACCCCATCTTTGCAATTATAAATTATGCTGTGATGAACATTTGAGTGCAGGTGTCTTTTTGATGATATTACTTCATTTTTTGAGGGTAGATACCCAGCAATGGGATTGCTGGATTGAATGGCAGGTCT